CCAGCTAGTGAACAGTGTCACTAATCTGAAACTTTCAGGAATTGTGAGCCACTCTTTTGTCGCAAGTCAGATTGACTCAAGAGTGATGAAGTTTTAAAAATGGTAAAATATTAAAAATATTAAAAATATTAACTTTATGTGAGAGACTTAGTTTCCATTACAAACCAGAATTATCCAACTCCAGTAGCTGCAGCTTAAAAAAAAGAAGTGAATTGTCAGAGTTGATGATGCTGAATGAAACTGACTGGACAGGATAGCAAGATAAGACAGTAATGAAATAGCAGTCATCTGGTAACTTAAGGACTGGCTGTTGGCTATCCAGTCTCCTTTAGTGAGAAAAGAACAAGCACAGGATTTGGACTCTTTAGATAAATCCTTCAGAGAAAGGATAATTGCCTTACAGGTATGGCAATGGGGTTTGATTTAGATAAAGTCTTTCCAGTGTCCTGCAGGAATTGAGTGTTGCACATTATTACTGAACTGCATGATCAGCACAGAGAAGAATGGAAGGACATTTTCAAAAGGGCCTTTTGCTACCAGACATGCAGGGATCCAAGAAACTTACCACTCCCCTGTAAATTTTAGATTACTCTAAGTGATCAAGTCGTCAATGGCTTGCAATCACAGGGATTTTAAATTGTACCAAAGGCATGAAAAGATCCTTTTTCATACTGTTTGGCCACCCATGATCATCCTGCTCTTCAACAAAAGTGAGATAACCCAGGGAAGTTCCTAGCATTACATTACATGAGAAGCTTTGTGTATAAAGGCTTACATATTTTCCCAAGTAAACAGGTTATTTATCATATATTATTAAAACAAAGCCCGGTTTGCTGCCTTTTTCAATGTAGACATGTTCATTTGAAATGAGCAATTCCTCTGATACTGGGCTGTACAAAAAGTTTAAGGCTGCAAACTTTAATCATAAGCATGACTTAAAAATAGCTTAAATAATTTTTAATGTAAGAAGTTCTTGTTGCTTTCCCAAAAAGGTTTCACACACTTCAGATATCTTAAGTATCATATATAACTGCAAATACTCCTCTGGTATCAGGCATTACTCATGACATAAAAGTCCCTGCCATCTTCGTCACTTAAAATAAATGCTAATTATTGCTATCTATTATTAGAATGTGAGCAAAGAAGCATTTTGTATTAATTTCTTCTAGAGATAGGATACCTGAATATAGTCAAGTCCGGTATGACTTTAATGCCTCGGTTTCTCCTAGCTCCACAGGGCAACTGTTCGTCTTCGTGACCTCATCATTACAATGGTTAATAGTGTCACAGTTATATTTGGATAGCCTTGTGCTGGAGACTAACTGCAAGGCTGTAAAGTATTTGGCAGCCCTCAAGGTAGATAGCCTTTAGATGTCATTTTAGACACTAGCTGTAATCCACGTATCTGATGTATTTGCACATAAGTCTCTGTAATGAAATGCAAGACTGTTGGATAGTAGCATGCCACTTTTCTCATTGAAAAGCCAAGAGTGGGAGTCATACTGTCTTCTATGACTTGGGCCACACTGAATACAGACTCTAAAATAACTGCGGATTCTGACTGAGTGGAACAGAAGTAGCTGTTCTTTCCCTTATTTGAGGAAAATAAAATTATGCACGTTTGCATAGCTGCTTCCTTATTTTCATGGCTAGTAGCCAGCATGCCTTACTTGGTGGTACAAACTATCAGAGCTTCCCAACATAATAAAGTACCTGATATTCAGACCCTATTAAGGTGAATGGAAATACTTCTATTATTATCAGATACATTTTGTATTATTGTACCTAAAAAGATCAACATTAATGCAGTAATGGCAACTAAGAAAGGAGCATGCGAAAATAAATGCCATTGTTACTTCTGACAAAGGGACTCTGATCCTGAAAGCTTGCAAAAAGGACAATTCTTACAATTTTCCAGTTGGTCTAATAAAAGGTATCATTCTGGAACCAAGAGTTTTAGCTTTTTGTATTGTTACTCTATAATATAATTAACAGAAACCTGTTTAAGTGTGTATGTGTTACAAAACATTTCTTTCTTTCTTTTTTAATTCTTCCCATTAGTATACACTGCTGCAAAAAAGTGCACATGGTAAGATTATATGTCTTAATCCTCTGGTACCACTCACTGACTGATAAAGAGGTCAAGGTGGGGGGAGGGGGGTGGAGAGGACAGGAGGGTCTGGGTGATGATAGTGAAAAGAAATGTTCCAGAAGAGGCCTTACAAAAGGCTGTGAACTGTGGAAATTCACTCTCCCACTGTCACCAGCTATTAGCAAGATCATTAATAAAGGAGCATCTAGATACATCAGAGTCAATCTTGTAAGTAACATTAATGATCGTCTTGAACCTTCTAGAGAAAGGAATGATGGGTACCGTGTATTCCAAACCAGGAATATCACTACATTAACTCCCTTCACTCTTTCTTGCAAGAAAGAACATTTCAGGTAGATTACAGATACCTTTTAAAGCTTTCATCATCAGGATTTTTTTCACTCCGTTATATGACACCATTCTGCTTCTTACATTAGGAGCTGTATTCTGTTATTCTGGACCTACTGTCTCTAATGTCAAAGCCCTAAAATAAAGCAGATGGAGATAATTCTCCACACAGTGAATATGCAGTGAATGTTCTCATTTTGAGCTATTCTCATTGGCTTAAAGTCACCTGGTTGTTTCAATTTCCCAGTTGGATGACTTGCATTATTGACAACATAAATTCTGAATTATACATTCATGTGTACAATTTACAAGTCTCAATTTGTCCTTTGTTGTTAACAACAGTATCCAATGCATTTTGCTCAGCCAATTTCAAATTTTAATGGAATATGCTATTTTATGAACAACCACACTTAAAAATTGAGCCTATTGTGGGAGCAAAGATAAAGCACTCAGAAGATCACTAAAAAAAGACAAGGCAAAAGGGCTCTTCTTTTGAAGTTCCCTATCAAGTTCAAAAGACTACTTAACAATATTTTCCTGTTATTTATTTAGGTATAAAATTCATATTGCATTAAGTCACCAAATAACTGACTTGTCTCTAAATTGTGTTGACCTCACACCATTTTTTACAATAAATTATTCAGCAGAAGTGTGGCTTACTTAAAAATATTTTGACTGAGAAGGACTTGGTCATTTATGTGTATAAATGCAAAAGAATAATTCAAATATAAGATTAGGACAAGGAAACAAAACAGACATAATGAAATAAAATTAGATGTTTTTCTATTGCCAATCTGTGGTTAAAAAATTACTATTTTGTTACTTTTATATATTAAAAAGAAATCCAGTAAATGCAATAACAAAAGAATCCTTTGGTATATTGCCTTCAAGTTATTTTATGTTCTCACCTACTTCAGTTCAAAATTGCTGACCTGGGTGAAAGTATGAAGATTTGAAGAGGTTTGTGAGCCAAAGGTACAGCTGGAGCTTCTTTGCCCAGATAGCACAAGATTCCATATTTTTGGGTGATTTTTGGCAATACTCACAGCAGGGCTGTCTTATGATCATTGCATGAGTGGTTCAGTACAGGGCAGCAGACAATGCCACAAGAAGTCAGCAGCCAAAGAAAGGAGCTAAATTTTGGATCTGGGTCCGGGTCTGGGTTCTGAAAGTGTGTAAGAAGCTACTTCTGGAATAAAGCTCACTGTATAGCCAGGGGGCAGTTGTTCAGGCTCTCCTTAATGTGAGCCCATAGTTAATCAGGCAAGATGGTTAATAGGTAGCCTGACTGGCCCCAGGTGGAGCTTAACTAGTTCATCAAGGTGCCCAACACAACACTGATTGGCTCACACCAGCTAGGGATGCTTAGCTTTTACAGGCCTCTGTCTTCTAAGTTAGGATGGCAGTTTCTTCTTCTTTTCCTTGGAAAGGAAGAACCAGAAATTGAAAAAAAAATTATCATAGGGGACTCCAACTTGGCCATTTCTCCTCCTTCTGTGTTCTGGTGTCACTTCACCTGCTGTTGGGAAAGCTGGGAACCTCACGAACTAAACTGCAAGATAAGCTTGTGGTACATGTTACGGCACCTGGTGCCACTTACCCAAAACATACAGATGAGCATAATTCCAGGCATGACAGCAGGATACCTACTCCATACAGCTGAGCACCTGTTCCCCTTCTGATCCTAGTTCATGTTTTCTCACCTTGCAAGTTGTCATTTCACCAACTGAAGAAAAAAGAGAAGGATGGGGAGTTCTCCTAAGCTAGAAGGGAATGGAGAAAAAATTATTTTCCTTCTAGAAGCAGAGTTGGAGCAGCTTTTCTACATGTTCTTTCTTACTTTAGTCCTTGCTCAACACCTTTTACTTCCTGACCTGTTCAGTAAAGCCCAGTTTTTTGTGAGATCACGGGTTGGCTGATGTCAGAAGAGAGGCCTGTAAAGGTGGTTCAAAATCTTTAGCTGGCTGGTCTGAAACAAAAGAAAATCACATGCCTTTCTAAAGATACTACCTCACACTCTCTGGCATGCTGGGCTGCTGTCAAATAGAGGTTGCTACTCCAGAATCAGTGGTTAAAGCAGATCAGAACAGGATAGCAGCAATTCTTGTGGTTATAAAATGATGTCATGGATATTGATGTCATATTGGGATTAATGAGTGGCTTTTAAGTTGGAATGAGCTGCTAGAAAGTGGATTGTCCAAGAGAGGACTGTTATTGATTTAGGGAGTGACTGAACAAGACACAGGTTTGCGTATGTGGTATGGCTCAAGAACAGGAGAAAAGAAATCCTTGAGAAAAGCCAGAGTAGAAGAAAAAATGGGGGAGAGCTTACAAAGGAGGGCATAAAACAAAGATAACCAGTTAAAATCAGCAAGAAAGAATGAGCTGATAAAAGTATGAAAAAAAAGGAAGGAGAAAAGGAAAGAAAAAAGGAGAAATGGAGACAATCAAGCCAAGAGTAAAGAATACAAGCAACTGCCACAAGGAAGCAAAAACATTTGGTAACCATGCCGTACAGATTGCCTGTGATTCCTTAAGCTCATTCAGTTGTAGGGCACCCTGAGCTGAGGTCTTGACAGGTAACAGTAAAATCACTTTCTAAAATGTTGTTGAAAATATGTTTAAAATAAATCAGTGTAGGCCATATGGTCTACTCTGTCATACATCACACAAAATTCCTAAGCCCTTTATAAAACTTCCCAGTTCACCTCAGCTCACCTTTAAATGAATGCTTTCTCAAAATGTCAACAAGGAAAAGATGTCACCTGACATTTGCTGCAACATCCAACATCTTGTTATTCATGGCTTATGAATAATTGCCTATCAAATGCCAGCTTGACTCAATTACTGGCTGAATGTTTGGACAGTTGATAGATTGTTCTGTTGGGAGGACATGCAGCAAACATAGGAGAGTCTCTTGTGGCTTGACCAAGCACAGCTACAGCTATCTACCTACAGCAGTAGTACATCCCAGCATCCACTCTTCTTGGGTTAACTTTAGACCTGGTATGAATGAAGGCAAAGTATACTCTAGCACTGATTGTAAGCCAAAATCTTGCCCATCATACAACTACTAATACAGCCTGGCTCTCCTCTCATGGTGCTTTTATATTAATATAACTCACTGTTGTCCTTGTATTCCCCGTGTCACAAAAATTCAGGGTAACAATCTTTCTTTTCTTTTTCTGGCAGTTTTTCTAGCTGCAAGAAATAGAAAAGACCTAGATATCAAAGTCCTTCCTCTCCAAGCCAGAACCTTCAGCCATATAAATAATCCCATCAACTGCAATGGACCAATTATTCCTTTGAGGAAGGGCAGAGAGAACTGGGCTTCAGGTCTACACATTTAGCGTTTCACATACCAAACTACCTAACAATGACTTCTCTTTCTCTGTACAATATCAGCTGGGAAATTTTTGTCAACCCAGTCCTTAGTTCTGAACATGCAAGCACTATTGGCAGGGAATTGTCACTGGAGATCTGTCTGTCTTCTGTGCAATGTGCTTCCTCCACTGGTCTGACAGAATCCAAGGCTGTTGATCTTCTGGGCAGGGTGTGTGGCTCATCTGTTTACTCAGGCTCTTGCCCACGGAGGTGGCGGTGGGGAATGTGTCTAGTTTATCCTGGAGGGGATTCTACATAGATCAACAAGGTGTCTGTTTTGTTTTCAAATGTGTAATGGTAGCCAGAGGCTGTTTGGACACATTTAATAAATATAAAAGTAATTTAAAAAACCCTACATTTCACTTGGGCTTAACAAGACCAGCAAGAGATTATTAAGGAGCTGTGTAATGTTTTATGGGGGGAAGTAAGTCAGACAGAATGCTGTCATTTATTAGAAGTACACAAAGCAAGCTGATGTAATTTTGCTTTTCGTTCATTACAAAAGTGCACATTGACAAGCAATCTAGACATTAAATCCCACTGCATATTCATGTGCTTTGTGTACAGTTATATTTCATATTTGCCTCACATTTTTTCCATCTCAGTTATGTCCCAGCTCACCTGGAAGTGCATTAAAACCCCCTTGACTTGGAGAAAAGAGAAAACCATGGGTTAAAGAGGAGCTAGGGGAAGACAAAAAAGGTCATTGTTAAAAAAAAAAAATGGGACAAGCAGGCAGATCTGCGGTGATGCCCTCCCTTCCCTGCTATGCACCAGGCCTCAGGGCTCCTTCCTCCATTTGTTACATATTGCAGTACACAAGACCTTAGTTTCCAGTTTGCTATAAGCTGTATATGTGTTCTCAATATAATACTGATACTAAAAGAACATAGAAGAACAGACCAACAGTTTATCAATATGGCAAACTTACAGAGCAGTCCCAATGAAACTTAGGGCCACAGTGTGGAAAAACTCTATCATTGTCTGTCATAAAAGGTTATCCTAGAATGAGTTTACATTTGCACTATTTATTGTTTGTGACCCTTTAGGGTAAAAGCTTTGCCCATATTAAACAAGTGGAAATCTGTACCATTATACCAAGATTCTTATTTCTATATACTTCTACTTCTGTGCCATAACTTAGTTCATCTTTTCTTATAAAAAAAAAAATTAGAAATGACTTTTCCTGTTTAAGTGAGCATAACTTATGCCATTTGTAGAATATTTTTTTTATTTGTGCAAATCTTTACCTTAGGCTAGAGTGACATCTAGTGATTGCACCCTAAATATAGCAGCAGTGCATAGATTTTTTATGTTTCTTCATTATAGGCTCTACGGGCCTGTCTTCAACTGTATACTTATAGCCTTACTCCTTTCTACCAAAGACCAGATTGGTTCCCCCTCACATTATGAAAACATATGGAGCTTGCAAGACTGTTTACATTCAATAGAAACTTATAAATACAGACACAGCTGCCTAATTAGTTCCACAGTAAAGTCTCTGCATCTACATATGTGGCCCTATTAAGCCATAGGAAACTAATTAACTCCACCACAGGTTAGTACTTGTAAATGCGTGTACCATCCTGTGGCAGCACTCCTTAGTCTACAGCAATGCACATGTAGACACCAACAGCTGCCTGCTGGCTAACCACGCACTGGAGCATCCTTGTGCCCCAGCCAGCCCCTTTGCAGCACATTGAGCCAGGTTGGAACAGCCCCAGGCTGCCAGGTTGACCCCCCCCCAGGACCCCTGCCAGCCAGAGATGCTCCAGTGTGTCTCAACATGTTGTGCTCCTGGGCACACATGTAAATGGACCCCCAGCAGCAAGAAAATTGGGTGCAATATGTACCAGAGTTTATTGCTTCCTGTTAAGTTCATGCGTAGATGCAGCCACATCTATTGAACCTGATAGCTGTCTCATCCTATTTTGAGATTTCTTTGTACTCCTGTAACTGAGTTGCACCATCTATTCTCCACATTAGTGTGGAGACATGGAAGATTCAATAAAAATCTGTTTTTCTCCCCTTTTGGGATTTAAAACCAAGTATTGTTGTATACACAAGCAGCCAATACTACTTCAGTGTGGCCACTCACATGTGGAAAGTTAAATACTTCAGTAACTGGTTGCAGATTCAAAGCCATGTTATGCAGTGCCGTAGCAAGAAAGTTTGGCACCCAGTGTGAGCCCGCAGTGGCAACCTGCCCTCACCCCATGCACAGATCTGGGGGTGCACACAGCAGCAGAAGCCACCCCCTCCCTTCCCTGTGGATGAGCTGCTCGCAGCTCTGTCCCACACCCCACGCCAGCTGGCCAGTGCCTGCCTCAGTCCCAGCCCAACTCCTCCCTCACTAGGGGGCCTCAATTTGCCCTCCCCATGCCCCTTCCTTCCCCCCACCCCTTCTCCTTCATGACAGACTCAACAGCCAAATGGTGCTGTCCAAGCTGCCAGGCTGGCTCTGTGCATGCTGTGGCTGTGCACATGCATGCAATATTTATCAGCTACGTCAGCCAAAATGTTTTGAAATATTTATAACAATATATTGACTCACGACTTGCCTGTTGGCACCCCTTCACTTTGGCACCCAGGGTGGTTACCCCATTCTCCCCCTTCCCTTGCTACGGTACTGATGTTATGTTGCAATGGTTTCAAATCAAATTTGCAAAGCTTTTCAAAAGGATTTTTCATTCCCTACAAGCTCAGCCTGCGATCTAAAAGCCAAATGATGGTCTGTCCAGTTAGTGACCATCTTTCCTGAAGATTTTACAAGACAAATGCTGCTCTCTTTTCCACACGTACAACATAAGTGGCCAATAATTATGCTTTCTATCAACTGTAGTG